CCACTCTCTGGAAAATCATCCAATTTGAAATGTGTTTACCATTACACACAGACACTAAAAGAACAGACACATTTCAATCCACTGAAAACTCCAACATTTACTGAGTAAAATCATCATAATCCATATTTTATTAGATGGTTAATTTGCTAATTTACCGAAGACAAGCTTTGGCAAAGTATATCCCCAAGAAATACTAAAGTTCTTACTCTAAAACTCTACTTCCATGGTTCTACCACAGCCGAACACTTTTTGGTAGAATTTTCCTGTGATACATAAATCTGAAAATTAAGTGACACAACAACATTTAAAACTTCTGTTACCATTAAAGCAAAATACAATACAGTATAATTTCTCAGTGATATATTTAAATGTACTGCAAAATGTATACAAAGTCAGTCCAAGGTCAGTAAAGAATCAGTTCTGCCTTTTGAACTTTACCCTTCCAAAAGATACAGGTTATGTAGAAGACCAAGGTAATTCAGGACTTATCTGTATGCATTCCCTTTAAAAGGCAGGCAGTGTGTGATAAAAATAACATGGTTAAAAGTAATGAACATGTGATGTGAACATTTTGCATTTTCAGTAAAAAAATAGAAACTAAACAACAAAACACATCTTAGAAGGGGAACACTGAAGCCTGCCATTATATAGCTATGCTTCTCATTCTTTTCTTTGAAGATTAACAGCACACAGAAAATAAGTGAATTTTATCAAAATACAGCACATTTCTGCTAATATATCAAAAGAATCATTTTCTATGTAAATATTACTGAAAATCAACTAAAAAGAATTAAAATATACAAAGAGTTGTTAAAGGGTTTCAATTAAAATTATTAGAACTATACACAGTACAATAAGAAATAGTTAACATCTTTGAAAGAAGTGCAATAATATTGGAGTTCACTTATTTAAAAAGTACTTCCTGTTTATTACTGCTAGCTATGTATAATTCCTCTCTCTTCCAGCTCATTGTCCCAAAACTAAAGGAGAGGCTGGTGTTTTTGCTAGCTTTATTTAAAGCATTTGCTTTTGTACACATGGGTTGAAGAAAGCATCTTATACCTGTCTCAAACCACCAACTTATATGCAATTAAAAATGATCTGCAATAACTGAATATTGCTCCAGTGACAGGCTAGTCATTAGCCCTAATTAAAAACAGTTATTGGTCTTCTATGGCACTTTTCCCTGGTCCATAACAACTGTGTATTAATTATCACTGCAGATTATGCAGTCACTATTCCATTACAATGGAGAAAGAAAAATAAAGTTAATGTTTCTGGTAAACAAAATTAATAGAAACATAATTGAATGTTTTATACAGTAATAAGGAAAAAAGGCAGCCTGCGGTAAATCACTATTACATTAATATAGTTAGAAACCCTTTAATGACTCTGAAGTGTCTAGTTCACATTTAATGTTACCTGTAGAACAGCCCTTTAAGAACCATCATTACAAACTGGTGAGTACACCATCCCTTTGCTCTCCATCTCACCACAGCAATTCTCCATCACTGTTCAAAGTTTCACAAACTTGCTTTGGTTACCTAGCTCCATGTGTATGGTTTCCTTTTTGATTAACGAGGCAATGCAAAGGCCAATCCAAATCGAGATGTCTTTCATAACCCTTCCCGCATAATTTACTTTGTGTGTGTCTAAATATATATTACAGGCAACAACCTTAAAAACTGGCCATTTCAGTTTCATTTTAAAAATCTACAAGGTTAAAATGGAGTACTTTTTATAAAGATAAAAGAATCACCATTTGCACAAAATTTGGGATTTCCACAGCAGAGAAAAACCTCTGGGCACATTTCCACAGTACAGTTGAAAAAATTATGTATGCAAGAAAACCCAACTAAACATAAATCACATGTGGCAATGAATATTCAATGACTACATTAAGAACAGATCCTGTAAAATATCACAAATTTGTAGTTACAGTCTTCCTAAAAAACACCATAAGCTTTTATTGCATTTTCTATTGGTAGACGTACACTCCAGAACTAAACACTTTTTCTTCTTCCCTGATTCCAGATTTAGTGGATAGTTGTTTCACCTGACCTTTATTCTGTCCAACCAGCACCACCTTCCATCTACCCATTCATCTATACAATGTGCACATAGCAAAATCAACATTTCATATCCCCTTGTTGATATCTACAGAAGTGGTTTCAGCATAGCATTAATATCCGGTGAATAAAAATAAAGGCAATAAACAGCTACAGGACAGACAGCCCTGCCATCTGTCCATTGGCTACAACCGAGGCTTTGCAAAGCCTTGCACAAATATTAGTAATGTGTATGAATTATCCAAAAATAAACCTACCATCTGTACAAAAAACAGCACAGGTTTGTTCTTGGAGGAGTGATCCTTAGATTGCTATAATGCTTAAAAACAAGTTTATTCACCATATGCATTTCCAAAATGATTTTCTGTACGTTTTATACAGTGGTTTTTCCCCCTTTAACCACAAGTTCAGTATTTCCTGTACAAATTTTGATCATAATTCTTTTCAAGTTCCTTTCATGTATAAAAATAAGCAAAATATTCAGTTTCCCATAAATCCTTCAATGAATCCTGCTGGCTTATCCCCCCAGTCCACAGTATTTATGAAGAAACTTCTCGCACAATTATGAGTTCCACTGCATTCTGAAAAGTCTTTAGCAAAGATACTGCTTGTCCATGATCAATATTGATGAAGCTGTATCCATTAGCCTAAAAAGAAATACTTAAAATTTAAAATGACAGTCTCATATGCCATGTTAGGGAAACATGTCTCACATTTCATGTTAGTTTACTTAAGCTTTAAGGTTTAAAATAAACAAATTCTGTATGCACATAGACAATAAAACACTGCATATTTTCAGATTACATTGCTGATGTCAGTTGAGTATGTACCTGCATGGTACATGAAATTAAACTACTGTTAGCCTCGAGGAATTTTGCCCCAAAGGTATTGCAAATAAATAAAAGAGAAAACTGAACTTCAAACCATTAACATAAGACATCTAATTCATCAGCCTTAATACAGCTTCACCAAAAAAAGCAAATGCAGTACAAATGTTACATCCCAGTTTAAATATCAGAACACTAGAAATGCCACTTGTGATAAATTAAAACTATTGAAGCCTTTAAGAAAAACATTAATGGCATTGGGAGCCATTTTTAGGGTGTGAGACCTCCTGAGGTCACCCCCAACTTGACAATTCCTACGACTCCAAACAACATTGTCATTCTTGGGACAGGTTTGGCCTGGCAAACTCAGGCAGGCCTAAATGCCTACAAAGGACAGGGAAAACATGGCTGTAGTTTAACTTCTCAGAGTGTACTACTGCAAATTCATGTTCACTCTGGGCAGTAAAATCTTGCAGAATGACAGATTTGTCCAGTTTAAACTGTTAGTGCTTCCAGCAATGCATCCCACCATCCTGAGCTACTGCCCTTTATGCGGTGAAAGAGAGAACGGGTCATGTGCTCTGCGCCTTAGCTGTGCCACTTTGGAGCTGCAGTTCCTGATACCATTGCTCAACACTTGCTATTGCTACCAGCTGAATCCTTTTGTGTAGAGGCAACTGTTTTTAAATCTGTCTAGGGCTGTAGAGAAAGATTTACCTATAGACTCTTCAGGGAGTAACAGTGGCAATAACCCTTCCAGATCATCATCTGTACAGATTGCCCTAGTCCTAACCTAACATGCAACAGCATCTTAAGACGTACATGCAATTACCTAGTTACTGGTCATGTAGAATATTTTTATTAGACAAGCATATTAGACACAGATTATAATATGCATGCCTAATACCCATTTTACAGAGAATGTTGCAAAATCTAGCATAGCAAACTCATTTTGGGAGAAACGATATTCAGTCAAAAACTGCAGAAGTTAGCTAAGTGGCAACAAGACTGAGTGGGACTGTTGTTACATCATCACTGGGATTATCATGGGGATAAATAATGTGCTGTTACACAAAAAAATATTCTTAGTTATGAGAAATGAAACAGCCTGTAATTGTCCAAGTGTGCAAATGCAACTTCTCCTTCAGAACTTCAATTTGTTTAATGAATTCCTCATTAAACAAAAAGCAAAACCCAAGCATGCCAAGATGACAAAGGGAAACTTCATTATAAGTGTCACACAGACAAATGAAATTCCATTAAGACAGGAATAAACCATTGAAATAAAAGTCACCTTTCACACACATTCCACTCTATAAATAAGTAACGACTATGCTACCAGTATTTTCAAAGGTTTAACATGCTTCTTGTTCCTGTATGGTGTGTTGGAGGGTTACACCCATCCCTTAAAGTCATCCATATCAGTAAGAGAACTAGGACCTTTCTCACCCCAATGAGGAAGAACAGGTACAGAATTATTTATAGTGCTCAAAATTGAGCCATCCACCCAAGCTGGAACAACTCGATCTCAGTTTAGTTTTCTTCTGTGCTTTTTGGCTTTATCTTTCATTTGAAGGATTAGGCTGCATTTTCAGTGTTGCTTTGTTTTAGAAAACTGTTCACAAGATCTTGTGGTTTAATTGAGATACTAGTGGGTTTTTTTGTTTGCTTTTTTTCTTTGTTTTTGGCTTTTTTTAGAAAACAGAAATGCAGCAGAGTCAACTCTACCAACATTCTCAAACCAGTCATGTGGTGAATAATTAATAATTTTAACTAGCTCTGCAAGTTTAAGGGTGGCTACAGCACTGTTCAAATGTCCTGTTAGCCCACTGCCCTAAAACAGTAAGGCTTATATAATCCTGTTGTCTATGTCCTTGACCCCTCTCGAAATAGCTTATGAGCTTGTTAGACAACTTCAAACAAATCTGATACATAACAAGTCTGAAAGGTACCAACAATCCTACAGAAAAGAACTGCACAGCTGCAGCCCTGAAGCCATGGCTCCTGAAGCAACCTACTTGGCTCACCTGCAGCAGATGGGGCATCCAGGCGGTACCTGCTGCAACCAGCCAGGTGCCAGCCTGACAAGAGGCAGCTTCTGCCAGCACTTGCACATGTCCAGCCCACCAGCTGGGCAAGAGGTAGCAAAGACAGACAGAACTGCAGGATGGAGGGGGATGTAACAGCAAGGTGCAGCTGGCGAGAGGGGTTGTGAGGGGCAACTGCTGGTGTTCAGATAACGCATTATTCAGAACACTGTACGTGAATGACCACAAGTTAAATAAATGAATGATAGTGAAGTCTAATGAAATGCTCATGTTCCATCTTGAATAACAACATTATGTCTGGTTTTTTATCTTTGAAAGTGTGGAAGTTCAGAGTTTGAAAAAATGATCCAGCTGATTAAAATGCTTCAGCCTGTATCACCTATCCTAATGTTAGGTGGAAGAAAATGCTTCTGGAAAAAATACTGGTAATCCATCTAAAAATTAAACATTCTGGTCTTAGAAAAGGTGCAAACTAAAAATGAGCTGGTATATTACATAGGCTAGTTAATTAGATGACCACAGTACCTGAATTATTTTATCTCCAGGCTGCAACAACTTAGATGCTGGTCCTTCTGGTTGCACTCTAGTTACAAATATACCCTTGAAAAACAGAAGTGGAAAACATGTTTGACAACTTCTTTCATGAATAGTAGGGTAGCATGAAACAGATGTAACTCAAAACTTTTTTTTTTTTACTTTTCTATCCTAAGTAGAAGAGAATGCAATACTATTCTACAGGTCTACTGGCTTTTGTGACTGCTTTCCTTTTCTAATGTTTAATCCAGGAGAGCTGCCTTTAAAGGAGTGGTGAATGACAAATTCTGATCTGCTGTTGTTTAATTTGCAGATGTGTCAAGATGAATTATCAACCATCAGAAAAAAGGCTGTAGCCTGAATCATGTTCTCTTTTAAGAGGCTTCCTAATTGTAAACCCCACAACTCACTATCTCAAATTTGTTGACTGATACCTGGAACTGATACAAGAGCCACACAGACAGAATAATCCTCTGTGTTGTCATGTGACCCCTCTGGTCACCTAACACCCTGATTTTCCATATAATTTATCCTCAGTTTTCTCCCCTCCACTTCTGGAGTTTAGTGGTTTGGAGAACACATATACTTTTTTTTTTCTTCTTTGCTAAACACTAGAAACATTAGTAATGAGAGTGATTTTAAGATGCATTAGTGTAAAATACTCACATCATCTTCAGGTCTGAATGGATTCCCTCTACCACCAACTCCTCCTGATATACTAAATCCAAGTTCTGGATCCTTGTCAATTCTCACTCGAATCTGCAACCAAAGTTAGATGAAGTGGCTGAAAATCTGCATTCAAAGCTACTGTAATGAAATTATTACTAAGGAATTCAGGTGAACAAAAGCTTTAAAAAGAAAAAAACCTCAAAAAAAGCATTTATCACAGTTCAAGATTATTATAATCACAGTTTATGTGGGCTTTGATTTCAGAGATGTTTAGATATTATGTAAATTTATTTAATGACCTAGAAAATATACATGTTTCCATAAAATAAACTGTTCCTCCTATTTCTTTGCTACCTTTAGCTGAATTCTTAAAAAAAAAATCTAACCTCATTCCTACTTCACTCTAAGTTCTATGTAGCTAACATTGTCTCTTGCCAGACTAATTGACTATAAAACTTATTTTACATAAGAAGTGGAGATTCTCATTCTAGCACAGAATGAAAACATAGTTCTCAGTATTTTCTCAAAAAAAGATGAAATAATACAGAGGAAACACCCCGCGTCCAAGAGCAGAAAGAAGGTTGCCGCAATGAAAGGGTCATTAAATTGTGTAAGATTTTCTTATCCACACCTATCATATCATAATTATCAGGCACGCATCAGATGCTCACACTTTATTTTAATCCTGGATTTTGTTTATGGATGCACATTTCTACATTTGCATGTTTTTGAACCATTCTGGATAACAGTGAATAGATGAAAAGTCCTCTTAAGTTGTACTGCTACTTTGTATTTTTTCAGTTACCAGATAAATAATGAGATGCTGATCAATAAATGTAGTTGAGAAATACAGTTCTAGCTCAGTAAAAAGATGCAAGTTTATGTTTCTGGGACATTCTGACAAAATCTACCCCATTTACCTACATTAGACAAAAATCTACCCCATTTTTCTCTTAAAATATTCACATAAAAAGAGTTCAAAACTAGAAGGAATGTGTGATTTCAGTAGTAGAATTGCACTAAGATAACAGTCTTCTGCTGGAAATAAATTCCTATATGATCTCTGTCATTATCTACAGAGAAATGGTAATAAACAAAAACAATCTAAAAATTCACTGCCACTGACAAAGAGATGTCATATAATCAAGTTAGATTTTATTATTACCTCTTGCTTTGCCAACTCGTGGCTTTGTCTGGGAGAACATTGGGAGTGGGCATAGGGAGGCTGGTGGGCAACTTTCAACATCAGATAATCAATCAGTTGCTCTCTAGATGGATGTCTTGCGACTGATGATTGAGGAGGGAGATGATGGACTTGGCTGTAGTTTGCCTGAGGTCTTTGAGGCTGGCACATCTGTCCATTTGTCAAAGGTATCTGAATAAAACATGAATACTCAATGTCATACATTTTATAAGCAGTGATTCTCAATTTCTCCCTTAGTATTTCAGTATTTCTCATACCTGAGTGCTTTTAATTTTAGGAACATTACTAGAACTACTCTTTTAGATCATGTACGATTACACTCAATTTTCTTCATAGTCACCAGCTGAGAACAAATCTGAAAACTAAAAACTTACTTTGATGCTAAACTACTAGAACAGACTAGACAGACTTGGCTTTTAGCACTTGTTTCACTGAGTTATGACAACCAGTATTTTCTAGCAGTGCAACTGCCAGTACAGACACTTGGTTGATATCATCATAGGTTGCATTTTTATTGCATAAAATTCATAGATTTCATAACAATTCCCAGTAGATAATCCACAAAATAAAAATCCCACACAGCTAGCAGACAGAAATTATACACTCTCCAAGCATCTTTGGGTGACCACTTCAAAGGAAAACCTCCTAAGCAAAGTCACATACAAGCTTAAGATTTTAGTATCAAAACTGTAATGATATTTCCAATAAATGTTATTCTTTTGTTAACACATCTGTCACTGATTTGATAGATATAATGATGACAAACAGCAGTAAGGTACACAACTGTCAAGACATACAGTGCATTCAAACCACACCACTAGGAATGATGCTGGACGTGATAACGTTTCTTACTGAAGCCTCAGAGTTACTGTTCAGCTCTGCACTGACATGTGCAGCCTCTTCTCTCCTCGCCTATATGCCTCACCCTCTTACCCAGACTAAGTAGCCACGCATCCATCTGTATGATTACAACATTCCAGAAATGCTACAGTCTTGAGTTAGATTTTTTTCTGCCTGCCACCATTATTTCATTAGCTATAGGATACAAAGATATTAAAATACTCTCTTCCTCAATATTATAAATAAGTGTGTAAATTTCAACATTTAACTATGTTATGTGAATGGACACATTACAGAAGCTATTTTATTAGGATGATGTTTTTTATGTCACAGTGATTCTGAGAAATGGTAATGTGTGTGTATATATATATTTTTTTAATTTATTTTTTTTTAGCTTATTTACAGATCAGATGTATTCAGTTTATACAGTTTTCTACTGCCTTTTCTGAAAACCTAAAGCACAACAGGGAAACTATTTTTTGTTGCACTGCCAGAGGTAGAGTTTACAAGCCAACACGTATCAACAGCTATGCAAATTCCCAATATCCAATGTCTGTAGAAATGAAACTGAAATTATAAAAAGGAAATCAATTGCTGCATCGTAATAATTTACAAGCATACATTTAGTTTTATTTTAGTAAGTCTTGAAACAGGTTTCAAGTTTGTTCTTTAAAAGGTTTAATTAGCTTCAGATTGCTTTCCACAGTCTGCCATATCCCAATTTCCACTTGCAACTATACCTTTTGTTGCAAATTTCATCTTTCAAAGCCCCCGCTGAAGCAAAACAAGAACTATTCCCATTCATACATACCCTGGTTTTGCTACGATAGAGTTAATTTTCTTCTTCATAGTTAGAATAGCTGTATTTTAGTTTCAGTATGGGATTTGTTATGAGGAGAATGTGGATAAAGGACTAATGTTATTAGTTGCTGCTGGAGCCAAAGGTCATAGTGTTTGACTGGCTTGCAGGTGCCAAGGACAGGGAGAAAGGAAGCACAGTAAAGAGCAAAACCTGAAATTGGCATTTGGATGTGCCAGTGAAATATTCCAGATCATATCACGTCATGTCAGTATATTAACCAGGGCTGACCAGTAATTGGGGGTATTCTCTCAGGGATCATTTAGGCTCGCTCTCCCAGGGTTTGGGTTTCGGGACTGTCTGGGCTCTGGGATCACTGGCTGGCACAGGCTGGGCATCGGTCGGCGGGTGGTGAGCAGTTGCACTGTGTATCACTCATTTGTACATTCTGTTATTACTGTTATTATCATTATTATTTTATTTCAATTAGTAAATAGTTTTTATCTCAACCTGTGAGTCTTCTTGCTCTTACCCTTCCAATTCTCTCCCCTGCTCTGTGAAGTGGGGGAGAGTGAGAGAACAACTGGGTGTGCGTTTGGCTGCAAGCCAAAGGAGTGAAACCACCTCAATACAGTTAATTATTCTGTCTTCCAAAAAAGAATGCTATTTCATTTATGTCATCTTCAATACATGGATACTACATTTTAAAGAAGCCCCAGTTCCAACTGCTATCCCAGCATGTTTCTACAAATAAGAAATATATCCTTGCAAATAATAATAAATATATCCTATCCATGGTGTCATGTAGATAATTACCTGTACAGCTATTTTCTTCATGCTGTCCAGAGGAGCATCTTTGAGACTAAGTGTGGCAGATGAGTAATTTTGCTGTCCTGACATGAATACTTCATCCTGGCATTGGTCTCCTAGAGTAGAAGCCTGGGGATGCTTTAAACAGAATAGAGAGGTAAAGATCACTGTCTTCATATAATTATGACTAAAAAGTTCTCACAAGAAGCCCAGAATAAAACATTTTAAGGGCTTTATAATTCTTTGTCTTCTTTGATTAACTAGTACATGTTAACTAGTTTATGCAGAAACACTAGTTTATGCAGAAAATCTTACTAGCCAAAACACCACACCCATAAAATATTAATGGATATTTACAAAAACTAGCAACTGCAGAGGTGTCATTGATCACCAATAAACTAATAAGAAAACAACAACAAATGCTAAGGACTGCCTATTCAAGGATTTATATGGTTAAAAGAGTCTTGGTGACGTTAGCCTGCTCACTATGGATACAATAACATCACTCAGAATGCCCAGAGTTAAGGAGTCATTTCCTCACATTTTCTTACAAATTAAAATACTAATTTTCTTGAATGCTCAAAGTATCGTACAGTACAGTTTACATCATCAGAATTTTTTCTGGGAGAGGAGAAAGGATAATAAGATTTTGTTCAACTCTATCAACCTAGGTTAAATTTAGAACGGTAATCTCTTGTTCACATATGTACAACAAAACTAGAGAGTTTTACATATGTTCAATCACCTAGAAAAGCCAATTAGAACACTCAACTTCATGACATCAAATTGAAAAGCCCTGCAATAAGTTCAAGGCATATGAAGTGAAGGCAAAGCATTTGATTTAATGCCTATTAAAAAATTCCAGCACATAAATTATATTATTTTTATTGAAAACATTGTCCATATGTAAAAGCAAAACCCAGGATAATAACCTACCAATTTACGGCAACACCTCTCACAGTTTACTCTCTCCCCCTCTATATATTGCAATAGCCTCCTGTAGGTACTCACTCGAACAATGTGCACACCAGAACCTCTTCCGTCTGCAACACTCAAGGCAACACTACCCTGGCTGCCATGCAGATCCCTAGAGCTGCCATAGTGAAAGCTGCTAACTGCAGCGTAATTGGAATTAAAGGACCTAGACAGCATGCTCTGAATAAAGAGGGGACAGATTTAACACAGAGATTAGTGCAGCATGCATAAACCACAAGACATGTTACACATAGACTAATACAAACATATTTCATTGTCATGCAAGAAAAAAACATGCAAGAACAGTACCACTGTGATGTATAAAACACAACTCAGTGACCCCTATTTGCCTTTATTTACTGTAAATCAGCATCCAATCAGCAGTTAACATGCAGAATTACAGGTAAATAAAGTAATTCAAATGTTCGTGTGTCTGGAAAAACAACAAGGGTGCACTGCTTATAAAAATTTCTAGATTCACATTAAATTTGCAACATATTAAAAATGTACAAAGAGAAGCTGACAGTCAAGATAAACCCTTGTGGAAAACCATCTAATTACCAGTTATTATTTTGTCTCATTCCCTCCCCCTCTATTGCTGGTACAGTACAAATAGAAATTACAGAGATTTCACTGTTTGACCCGGTTTTCTTGTTATTGCAATGCTGTCAATGTCTGCAATGCATTCCAGTAACACTTCACCCAAGAATGTGAACAAGCTTCATTTAAAGAAAAGAGAGGCTGGTAAGAAACCTTGGAGTCCAACCCTGTGCTGCTGTAGGCAATCAAACAGGTAACATGAGCTCAAGCACAAAAGTGATAGTTGGTTTGGTTTTGAGCTTCATTCCCTTGCAAACCCAACCTCTGCAATGTTGGCAAAGGTAACAGAAAGAAAGCAGTGGACATTACCGTCTTGCCACCATGGACTTTGTAGTTGTAAGAACAAAACAAAACAAAAAGACTGCACAAAAGAAGAAAAATAAAAACCTCCATGTTTTGTCCAACCTGACAAACAAAACAAGCCTATACTGAAAAAGTGACAAAGAACCATGAAAAAACATTATCATGGTAAAAGATCAAAGCATCAAAACCCATCAAATTAAGTTTTGTTTTTTAGAAAGTTTCTAATTTTTACAACTTTAAAAAAAAAAAGAAAAAAGTTCAAAATGATATCATTTGACTAAAATACTGCAAAAACTCTTACATTAATAAGTACCTTTTAGTGTTTGTCTGCTGACCACATATACTAGTCTCATTCTGAAAACAGTCACTAGTCCTCAGGCAGACACTTGCTCTTTCATACTAACTTTATCTTGTGAAACTAAAACTAGTTTAACAATCAAAGTCATATGTCTCTGCATATTCATATTCCCTAGATGCTCTGGTAGCACAGTCATTGGAAACTCCCTTGGAAGACATTTGCTAACAATGATAATTGACTTTTCCTGACCAAGGCTCTTGGATAACCTCTCACTCAATGGCACAGTCAGCTTTCTTCATGCTTCTCTTCTACACCTACCCTGTCTTCTAGTCAATGGATTTTTCAAGCTCCAAGACAAGTCTCCAGAGGCTTTCCCCATCTTAGGAAGGGAAGACTGTACTCAGCATTCAACTCTCTCTTTATTACACATTTAATCTAAGCTTACTGATTCTCTAAGTTTCAGGCCAAATACCCAGATAAAACTGCCAAAGACAGTTTTCCTTAGCTCCTTAGTGCCTCAAAGCATCTTCTTATAACTCTTCTCAAAACAGTCTTTATAATGAGCCAGGTGGCCTTTTTCCCCTACTTGTATAGGCAACTCTCTGAAGTCTCCTTACAGAAAGCTCCTCTCAGAGGCTGTTATATCTCTCCATCTTCTGTAAGTGGCAAAAGACAGATAAAAGTATAAGGAATGCATAGTGAAACTAGAAAGTTATCATCTGAAAGTGTCTCTAGCAGATCATCTTACTGTTTGGATCCCTAGATAAACTAGATTTACGCTTCTCTTAGAAGGACCCAAACAGATGATCAATAAATGGTGACAATCAAATTTGTATTTACAATTTAAGATAGGTCCGCAATAGGAGTTAGAACATTCCTACAGTTTATGGAGGCACAAACTTGTCCATCAAGAATTGAGATTTCAGTTAATTCAGTTTAGTGAACATGAAGGTAATTACAACAGCCTGATAATAGCTTTATTCAAGGGTTTATAAAATCTCCTTTCTTGGTAAAGACTTTTTCCAAAGTACAAAAAATGATTGTGCAATTGATGTAGGGAAGACAAGAAATACTGCAAACAGTATTTTTCTCCTCTACATTGGGCACAGTGTCTCAACACTACGTTACAAGGAATCCACAAGTACAAACTCTAAAGAGCAAATACTACTTAAAATTACATGGAGTTGTGAGAAAATTTTAGTTTAACACAAGAAGAGACTTCTAGTGACAAATCTAGGAAGTATTTTTCCTGTAACTATTTTTATCTGGGGAGAAACTGAGACATTTGGAGTGTGAATAGCATTCCTCTTTATTTTGTTTCTCAATAAAAGCACGATGAGGGCTGTACATTTCCTAGTGACACTCCTGAAGACTGCAGCACCAGAGAAGACGCTTTAGGAAATGTGAATATGCAGACGCCATTAAAAGCCCTGATTTTGATTGCAATTTATTAAAAATTAAATATAGAATAAATCCATGGTCTAAACTTCAGATTAAATACGAATGTTAATTCCAAGTACCAACTCCATTCTCCACCTGATTTACTGCAGTGTCTTAGGCAATAATGGCCTGCAAAGTGATAATTCAAATATCTGAGGCTTCAGAAATCTCATTTCAGTTGCTCTAAACTAATATACACTAACCAATAAACTCCCATGTTACACTGTAGATTGCTAGAAATCAGTTATTCAGCCATGAAGAACACATAGTAAAAGCTACAGTACATCTAGAAAAAATGGCTATATACAAAGTAAAAAAATATTCAGTATATAAATCATGATTTGTAGTCAAAATCGGCCTCTAATGGAATCAATTTAGATGCAGGCAGCTAGTAGCACAGATTAGGGGTTTACTTACACTCTTTTTGAAAGCTAAGAATCAGAATGTATTCTCCATTTTGCAGCTTACAAAAGAATTAACAATTCAGATTTCAAAAGGGTGTCTTTTAGGAATGGAAGTGTCTTAACACATTTACTTAGGTGCAAGATAATAAGTAGTGGAGAATTTCTGTTGGATAATATCTTTGTAATTGTAAGACTGCCTGGAGTCTGTCACAACAATCCATGCAATTTTGGTATAGAACGGGAACTAGTAAAATTCAAGCATCTGCAGGGAACAAGACTCTACATTATACTTGTATTTGAATAGCCTTAACTGGTAACTTAATTGCTAAGCCTAAGTGTTAGCCTTTTCATTTATTTATCCATCCATTTAACAGTACTTAGAATCAATCACTTGCTAAAAGTGGACATAATGCTATACTAAATGTCTAGAAATCCCTTCACTTTTCACTCCCACCTTGAATATCTAAGAGCCTTTATAAAAAGTTTGTTCAAGGTATTCTGGAACACTTGAAATGACTAAAATTGATGCTTTAAGCCTTCTGAAATAAAAATACACAAGCAAAAAAAAAAAAAACCAAACCCAACAAACCCCCCCCCACCCAACCCCTCCCTAAAAACAATCGAACTTTGTTTGAAATCTGATAGAATTTTAACAAGGTGTCAGTTTATCCCAAACAAGAACTTCTTAAACATTATGAAACTGTTCTTCAGTCATGAGAGGAAAAAAAGGCATTAATTTAGGTCTCTGATCCTGCAAAAAAAAGTATCTTTGGAAAATTACATATGATTTAAATTCTACTGTCATAAAATGTCTGCAGGGTCAGACTTTGTTTGAAATCTGATAGAATTTTAACAAGGTGTCAGTTTATCCCAAACAAGAACTTCTTAAACATTATGAAACTGTTCTTCAGTCATGAGAGGAAAAAAAGGCATTAATTTAGGTCTCTGATCCTGCAAAAAAAAGTATCTTTGGAAAATTACATATGATTTAAATTCTACTGTCATAAAATGTCTGCAGGGTCAGAACTTTGTTGTTTACATTCAAAATGCACAAGACTTTTATTCCTTTTAAAGTATGATGTATTGACTTCTAAACTCCACAAAATATCAGTATAGCACATTGATGGTTCAGTGGTCCATTCAAAATTGAGGAAAAAAGAAAACTAAAATACAAATTTAAAACTAACAACTACTAAGTAAAGTAATTTATTAGTGTTAAAGTATTCTTCAGGCTACGATCTTATAAACACTTAAGCACCTAGTTTTACGTGTGTGTAGGTCCGCTGAAGTTACTTTCCTTGACATATTGAAGTAAGCTTAACTTGGAGAAAATCTGAGGCCATATAAATTAAAAATATTTTTGCATGTTAGGTATGTAGTGTAAAAAAATCTATTAAAGAAACACGTTCAAACTCTGATTAAAACTGCAATTCTATGTTACTACTGAAACACCTGGACTTTTTTCTTTTAATATGGCACTATACACTGGAAACTCTGAGAATAAAACCACCTATTGTGACTTCTGAATTGGAAAGTAGGAATCAAACTTTATGACCTCTTCTCTGAAAGCTCTGTCATTTTAGATAAATATTAGTTGAAGTAAATAAAAAATAGAGGATTTAATTCCAGTTGAAATTAGAACTGAAAGCAAACACACACCTGAGAAACTCCCAGGAGATCCACAGCCAAAGAAAAAAATATACATACGTAAGGAAAGGACAGAGTCAGGCCCAGTAACTATTTCTGCCTACACATCACCCAGAAGTGTGATACATATTCACAGATAACTGTTGCAGATATTTATTATTGCAATCTATGGATAAGAAATTCCTCTACCACATAATAAAATGTGTGTGACTAGTGTTTTCACACAGACAGTATTTTAGTTTAAATTCCTAAATTAAAACTTGCAACAAAACTACTATAGAAGACTACTGTGACATAGCAGGTAGTAAAATTGGCAATTCACACTCAAGAAGGACAATATGCTGAGAAGTATTACTGTTAAAAACTCTGTGCACTAAATTTATGAGGTTGGGGGTGGGGAAGAAGTGACTGCATGCTTTCCAACAGCTTACTTCTATAACCACTAGAGAGCAGCCTGACATTTAAATAAGCTCTTTCCTCTATCACAATACACTTTGCATCAGGTAAGCAAATTGCTTCTCCTGAATCTATGCAAAATTCTATTTACAAATGGTCTCATGAACTTTTTTCATGTTCTTTCAACCAGATGGATAATTTTAGTTGATCAGTATATGCCCCCTCCCAGCTTGTCAAAGGGATTACAAATGCTGGTTACTTGGCTGGAATCCACTGTTAATCATTTTTGCTGGAGTTAAAACTATCCTGTATCTCTCCTCATGCATATTAAACTCTTAAAAGTGGTTTGTCTGGTTGGTTTGTTTGCTTGTTTTTCCCTTCCTACCTGTATCAGGTAAAAATGGCTAATAAAGCAAGAACTAGATTCTCCGATTTGTCCAACAAGCAGGCACTGTTTATTTAAGTGGGTTCACGCTCCTCTCTCGCTCTCCCTCCAGTTACCAACTTTTATAAAAACAAAATAAGTACTTCAGGAGCTTGGTAAAAAGAAAAAACAAAACCAAACTGACAACAAAACCAACCCGCAAAAACCCACTACACCCTCTTTCCTAATAAGCACAGGACAGAACTAATAAACATGATTAAACTCAAGAAGAGACTAGAAAGAGTCACAGTAAAGGCAATACTATTAACCCACATTGTTGCGTATAACCACAGGCAAGAAGATATGAATTAAATATTCATCAGTTTTGTATACCTGTTTTTGTCAGTGTTGTGTCTTATACTTTAAAAAAAGAAAAGTAATTTTCAATCCATGAAAGCTTTGTCAAAGCATTTTCCAATAAATCTTCCTTAAATGAACTCTGTAATTAAACTTAAATGAGCTCTGTAATTACTGAAATTTTTTTCAGACTTCAAAACATTTCAGAAGTCTGGTTTATAGATTAAATGTGCTCCCTCCCCCCCCAGCTAGTTTTTAATTACAAACAGAAATACTGAAAGCATTATTTTAAAAGAACAAAGAAATATCCAGTAAATTCCTAGAATTTCCATATTATCATATTTGCCAGCTGCCATATAGGATCATATCTACTTTTTTCACAGTTCAGGTTTTTCTTTTCAAGTCAGTCATATCCCAGAGAACATAAAGCAGACAATTATATACACATTCACTTTTAAACCCATAACAAAGTTTCGGATTTCTAAGTAAAAGCTACTTTAAAACGCTTCAAGGCCAGAACAAAAGAAACACACACATGCAGAACAGACTTCTAAGATCTGTTAAATTAGAAGTACAGCTAAGACCTCAACAGCAGCTATTCCGTATCACTCCAGTAGGAAACAAATATTTAGGTTTGCATATAAAGCATGATAGAAAGTATGAGTATGGACAGATACAAAGGAAATCCAGTCAAGTAATCAATTTAATTTCAGTAAAGGTGACTACACTGCCACAGAACCTGAACAGCTATCACTGGTGTATTAAACACTTCCTCCCATGTCACATGTAGACAAGATAAGAACGAGCTACAAGCAAACTGCATTAGCAGTGCAGTGAAGTTTTGTTTCCCTCTGCATTCAGGGTTTGCTGGGATTTTTGTTTCTCTGTCATTTCATGTAAGATTGATCTGTGCACCCAAGAGAATGGAAGATCAGAGAATGCACCGTTTATTAGGGTTGGAACATGGTGAGGTCTGTGACTGCCTCGTGGGACAAAGAGTCCCCACACTACAGCACAGTACTGTGAAAGCCTTAAAATATTTTATGTTGTACATGACTCAGACTAGATCAGAAGAATAGGTGCAGCTGTTGTGCAGGCTTTTTTAAAAAAAAAACAAAACCCATTACTTTCTACCACCAGAAGTTATGCAATTTAAAACAAACAAAAGCAAACTCATCCTTCCAAATACTTGGATTTCTAAATAAAAATTATAGTTAAAAGTAATTTTTCCAACCATCTCCAATTAAATTTCTTTAGCTATCACAGATATTGAAGTATTTAATAACCACAAACCAAACTATGTTCCTTCAAAATAAACTAAAAAAGAAAATCGATCTACTGGGCATAATAAAAATATGTTTTGGCTGCTTTACCTACTTCCCCTTCAAGGAGACAGGATCAGGCTAATGACATTCTACCAATTATTTAGTGATGGTATTTTAGACTGGTTTAGCCGGGCAACACGGATTACACTCTTCCAGCCTCTATACAAGTTCTTTGAAGATATATAATTGTTCAGCTCTACATATCAGCTCAAATTCTTGTTAGCATTTACAGTACACAAAGAATGCTGTTCATCATCTTTAGTTATATCAGACCTCCTATGATTTCCTGAAATGAACAAGATTTTTAAGTGTTCTCATCTCACAGCAATAAATATTCATTCAATAATCTGTCAGATACCCAACTTCAAAAGACAACTGGCTTGGAGGCAAACACATGTTAATTATAGCTTTTGAATTCTTAACAACAAAGTTGTAGACCTATATTTCCAAATAGATTTTACTGATTTTCTTTTCCTTGAAGAGAAGTAAGAAGGTAAAAAGGCAGAAAAGAAGGATCAAGAAGTGTAAGGGAAAATTTTAGTATAATCCAAAACCAATATTACAATAAAAATTACCCGTCCTAAAAGAGTTGGAATGCAGTTCAACAGGCCAATTGTTTAACATATTCTAAAGTAAATGGACTAAGCTGGCAAGTATGATGTAAAAACAAGAGGGACCTTTTTTTCCTTTGGTGGAAAACTTCATTTACAGTCCACCATTTGACCATTTCTCAGATATTCATCACAAACGAGTTTATCCTTTTTTAAGGCAGTATCAGAAGTACATTTTCACTGGTAATTAAAAGCAGTTCAAAACAAAGAGTATTAAACTTATTCCATAGCTAGGTAACAGAGAGGTAGAAGAGTTTAAAAAAAAATATTTTTTTTACCTTTTCTAACTTTTTAGCTTCAATATGTCGCAGCACCTGTTCCCTCCAGTCATGAGGGACTTTACTTTTTCCTGGAGGGTCTAATAACGAGTGCTCAGAGTTAACCCTCGGGTTTGACCTCTTTGAAGGGCTAGTCCGTGAGTAATTGAAGTCACTAACTGACATAGTTCTTTCTGGTATTTCATTCACTGATGGCCGAGCACTCTGTGGTCGGGGTACATTTGGACCATCAATGCTGTATGTCCTGGCAGAAAGAGGTCTCTGTTGCCCAGACATTACTGGTGGAGCTCTTCCCATCGAATGCAAGTCTCTGTACGTTAAATAGTCCCCTTCAGGTACCTGGGTGCGCCTTGAAGGTCCAGTATCCCCAACGTTTACAGAAACTGCTGAAGACACACTGCTCTGCCTTTGAAGAGTGTGTCTGGTTGCTCCTGGGAGCAGCCTATCATTTGGTGGAACAGCCCACATATCTATATGTCTCCCAGCCATCCGTTGATGAGTGTTATACACAGCACTGGCTCGGACATTGTTATGATTAGAGAAATTCATATTGGCAGAATGCTTTACATAGCTGGGGGTTTCTGTACTGTCAGACCTAAGCAGACGTGAAGGAGGTAAGCCACCTTGTTCTACTTGGGTGTTTTGTTTCTGGGGCCACAAGGTGTCTTTCGCTGCTGCACTGCTGCTGTACTGAATATTATACTGGGGAGCGCAGAACATCTGTGCACCACTTGTCACTGATCCTCTCACTACGTTACCACCTTCAGGATTGTGATTTGAGTCAAACTTGAACACGGTTTTTGTAGAAGATACTAAATCTGATGATGATGATGACCCAGGAAAAACCTGCAAAGGCTGATCATACAGAAGAGTAGCAGATTTACTTCGGACTATGTTTTTTCCATCTGCACTATCAGATACTGATTTTACCACTGAGTTTGGCTGTGGAGATCCATTCTCATTGACAATATCATAGATTTTCAGACCACCAGTGTCCATACTGGTGATGCTCAGAGATTTCATCACAGGACCACTTCTCTGTGGGGATAAGTCTTCAGTGCTCCTTGAAACAGATAGCTCAGTAGAACTGCCATCAGCTGTAGTGCTTCTCGTTAGTTCATCTTTACTGGGAGACTGTACTGCTTCCTCAGGATGTCCATTTACTTTATTTATAAGATATTTATTTCCATTTTCCAAGTGCTCACTTTCTTCTTTCGTGTTGTTATTCAAAAAGCCCTTTACTGAAACTATTTCCTGTGTTTGTAACCTTTCTACAGGAACTGGTGCTGTCTCTTCACTAACCAGTTTTTTGATATTCATGTTTATTTCATCTAATTTGTGAGATTCCTCTGTAGGACTACTCAGATCAACACTTTTTCCTATTAGGCCTAATCTTTCTTCAATGCTTAATTCATATTCAGACAAATTTGTAACCTTCTCTTGCACATTTATCTTTTCTTCCACAGTAATGCTCAATTCACCTCCATTTTGCAAAAGACTATTCAAATTTTCATCTTCTGGCCTGGAATAAAAGATGACTCAAAATAAATTCCAAAAGGAACCAACATACCCCTTTAAGAACTGTTTTTAAAAAAATTGATCATAAACATGCAGAACAGTCATACTGTGCACACAAAACAGGACAAAGACCAATATACAGCCAGACTTGTTTACTTCAGTAGAAATTATTAAAGACAATTTAAAGGTGTAAAAAAGTACAAAGTGACAATAACTTATTTTTTTATCAACTACTTGCAAGTTCCATGAAAATTCTGGACAAATGCCTTGTTTCTCTTGCTATTTATTTTCTTTTTAAATTGCACTTTCTAACTAAAACCTCAAGAAGAGTAGCAACCTGTAAATCCATTCTTCGTAAATTTCTAAAAGCCTTTTATACTTAGGTTGGTCATCAAACTGATCTTCAAAATGATGCAAATAAAAACACAGAGTTTTCAAAATGGTGTACTGAAGTATTTTGCAGGGATAACAACACATGGGAACCATGTCTTGTATACTAAAATTAGCCTCTGAATTTTACTGCCCTTTTTTTTTTAAAAAAAAAAAAAAAGAGAACTGTTCCATTATTTAACATTATTTTAAAACATTAAAATAAATTATTTCATGAATGATAAATAAATTAATTAAAGGAATGGACATATAATATGAAAGATTAAGTAACATTTTTCTATTATATTTGCTCAGTGGTATACAGTATCTTACAAACCTGATCTTGGATAAAACAGCAGCATGTGTTTCTTTGTCTGGAGAACAGAGAGAAATATCTTGGCTACTGTCAGTATTTAAGGAAACGGAATCTGACATTCGAGAAGGAGAGGAACAGTTACTGTTATTTTGATTGCTATTGTGGGTAGCTTCATCTGATAAGGAATCAGCATCTTTTGAATCATCTGAAATAAAAAATTTCCAATTTAGTTACAGACATATACATCTGTTTAATAGTCATTTAATGTGTGTATGTTACAGTATTTAGAACTTGCCTGTTGTTCCTCAGTAATTCTTACTACTGAAAATTAAAACATAAGCTAAGATCTTTGCAAACTTCATTCAAACTTACAAAAATCTGTTGACAATAGTTCCTATTTTTCAAATATTTGGCTCAATATAAACAGGCCTCACCTGCTAATGAAATTTAACTTGTTGCTTTATTCCAAGTTTCCTTGGCGTAAGCTAGCGCTACATTATGTAATATTTCCCCAAAATACCTATCAAATGCTGTTTCTGTTTTTGCAATTATTTCAAAGTTTTGAATTACTTGAGTCTATCAGCCCCTATGAAAATGAAGGACACTGCTTCACATGCAGTATTTTGAAAGTATACACAGTTCGTGATTTTGAACATTGTATCAATGTTAAATAGCTATTTATTAGACCAAGCACTCTGGAAAGACATAGATAGATCACTGGATAAGCTCTGTATTGTTTCATAAATGTAAAAAAAAACCCAAACAGGAAATATTAATTCCTTTCCCCCTCTGCTTTTAAACTGATGGCAAGAATCAAGAAAACCAGGATGTCAACACAGGTTTCTCCACCACAGGCTCAAGTATAAGATACTGCATAATTTTTTCCTGCTTTACTTGCTTAACTAGAAAATTTATCATCTTTCTTTTAAATCTACTTTTACATAATTTAATTGAAAAAAAAATAGCCACTTTGAGTCAAGAAATAATCAGAATCACAGAACACTTCTATTGCGTTTTATGGTATCTAACCTTTTTTGTTATTGCTAAGAGCTACTACTTTTGGTTGGTTTATGGAGGTTTCTATCAGCGGTGGTCGCATTTCTGCCATCTTCATCTCTTCATCAGAGGAGAGTTCTTCTGACTCCTGCTAAAGGAAAGAACAGCTTTTAGGCTGTGCATTTTAAAGAACTGCTTAGAGGTTAAGTAAATACTATCTAAACTGTCACCCACTGAACAACAAAGGGGACAAAAATAAACAAGCAACAAACATAAGCATAACATAACTGTGTAGTGTATTTATAGTGCAAATCAACTGAATTTACTAATAGTTGCCACTGAACTATCTTTAAGAAGCAGCACGTGCAGACTTGCATTGTCACTGGTGAACTCCACGGAATGACAGCCAAACCAATAACTTAGCCTGCAAAAAGCTACCTGGTGCAAACAGATGCTCTGTTCTACCACTGGAGAGAACCTCCAGTTGAATTCATGTTAGAAAGTTATCACTGACCCACTGAATGAGCCAGACCGACTAGCTTGGTTTTGCTTAAAAGAGCTGAAATTGAAACAGTTATAGGGTAGCATGACCAAGACAATCTTAGGAATGGAGAACTATGCTGTGAGAAAAGACTGCATGAGCTTGGCTTGCCTAGTCTAGCAAAAAAAGAGCAACTGTAGCTTGGGTATGTATCTTCAAATTTACATTGGCGATAAATTCCAAACAAAAGAGAAGTTATTTAACTTCGAGAACATAGGAATAAAGTTATGTTGAATACATTTAAGCTAGAAATCACTAGTCCCTAACCATAAAAATGGAACTCACTGCACTGTCAGTTAAGAGATTAACTGACAAAGCTGCTGCAAGAGCAGCCATGCAACTGATTCAGTATCCTACTGCCAGCCCTATATTCCAATAATCTTCAAAAATTATTGTTTCCACTAATATTTTGAAGGAAACAGACCCCTATTTCTCTAAAGTGTAAATTTCTTTCTAGTAATAGTGCTTCCTGTTACAAATGCTACAAAATCCATGTTGCAGATTGCAAAAACAGTCTGTCAATGTTCACTTATTCTTACAAGTTTCACAGCATTTACTGTGCGGAACATACTGGAGCAGCACCTTTCCTATAATACTAACTACCTGGCCAGTTCTTTGTACTGCAGGGAGGACAAACCCAACTGAGCTGTAGCAAACAAGCTATGATAGTCTTCATTAAAAGTAAAAAATAAAAATCCATGTTTTTCTTTGCAATCCAGACAACCTCTTCACTGCCTCTACCACATTGCTTTTCCTCTTGGATGTGACATACAACAAGTCTAATCAATGCTGAAATTAAAAACTTAAGCACATGCAAAATTTTGGTATCTAGATTCAACTGCAACAGTTATCAACAGGTTATTACATGGAAGCGAGGAATTCAGTATCCCTGACGCACTACACACTGTTGCCTCATTTACTTACTGGCATACAGCCAGCTACAAAGACTTGCTGTCACTATCGTTAGACAGCATATGATTTTCCAAAATTATGTTCTTAAACTAAAAAAAAATAAAATGTCAAAACCAGTATTTTCAGAAAGTACGTAGAAGCAGGAACACGCTAGCAGGGAAATAGCCAGCAACAGCTGCAACTGCTTGTCACAAATTCTCTTCAGCAAAAGTATGATATATGCACATTCCACTTCTTACACAACACAGGCAAAAATAATCCCCTTGTGAAACTATGAAAAAGCATTTCACAGGTTATGACTGGCTACAGATTAAGTGACAAATTCAAAAATCTGTCATAAATCTGAAACATTCTAAATAAATGAACACATGGTGTTTGTCAGAAAGAGGTACAAAGAGTTTAAAATCTCTGACTCTTTACGAGATGTAAACACAATCCAGGTTATATTCATGACAGTTCACTAACACACAGGAATACATGTTTTTAAACCCACCTTTCACTTTTAATTTGAAATTAATGCGCATAGTCACTTGGATATACAGGTTTTTGATTGCTCCTATTAATCAGATATTTTATCATTTCAGTGACAATTAAAATCTATTATTTAATGAAGAACTGACAATCAAGCAAAACCTAGAAAGTTCTAAGAATGAGTCTTTTCAGTTTGATACTTAGGTCAATTTTTAATCAAGTTTGCTTTATTTTTCTTTAAATGTTTGTATCTTTTTATTATGAACTTTTATTAGCTATTTCAACTTTTACTTAATATAACCTGAAATGAGAAAAATATTGCATTGCAAAGCATTTGTATTTACAGCGCTTATGGATGGCAATTTTCTGCTGCTGTCAACATAAATTTTTGTCTCTGAGAGTAAAATTCAGTACAACACCAGCACAATTCTTTGACTGCTCTGGTGTTCATCGCAACGCCATACCTCGAGTGTGTCTTCATGGTTGACAATTGTTTTTGTGTTCTGCAAGGTTTTAACAAGTGCAGTCATCTGTGAATTTGCAGTGCTGTGCTCAGCTTCTGGTTCAGTAGGCTTCTGCACAGAGCTTCCAAAAAAAACCTGCTGAATATTGCTTTCTCTCATCTGCTTTGTTCTTTATCGAAGCAATTTCTGAAGTCTACAGGATTAAGAACATTAGCAAAAAAAACATCCTGAAAGATTTTCGGCAACATCTGACATTTAGAGTTAACATTATATATTTTGGGAAACTATTGAATGGAAAATTTGAGCTTTGAAATTATAAAGCATGAAATGCACCAGGTATGAAATGCAGAGAAATCTCTGCAGATTACTGAGGTACTGTCCCTACTCTTTGTTAATCAGTTTGACTCTTCTCCCTATTGGGTTTAAAGAAAAAAAAAATAAATTAAAAAGGCCAAGAATATCTACAATGAGACATATCAACACCAAACAGTAGTCCTGTTACCTATCTTGCTACATCAACCTGTTAGAGATTCCTGTGCCAACTTGCCTTGACTGCCTTCCCAATTTATCATGTAAAACCTCCAGTCATGAGGGCAACAGTAAGATCCTTAGAGATTACGCTGAATTTCATTGTGAAGACTGGTAGATAAAAGAGGATCAGAGGATGACAAATATGCCATACTCCAGAAACCAAAGAAGTAATCTCCTTAATACATTCATAGTTTGTATTTGCTGAGAATAAAGTCACTTTCCTTGTTCTTAGTGCTAGATGACAATTGCTACTGCAAAACAGACACTTATTGCACACTTCTTTTGATGGTGAAGTAGTAAGTTCTGTTCTTTAATCTGACAATTTTTATTGCTAAAGCATTAGTGGGGAGAGAGAATAGAATTAAAAGGAATCAATGACACTCTAGATGTTTGGAAGTTCTTGCAAAGTCAGAAGAGAATATTATCTCTAACCTTTACCCCCACATCTTTTACAGAAACTGTCTGGCTTTCTCGTTTAGACTCCTTAGCAATATCTTCAGTAGATTCTTCATCCTTTAGCCTATGTACAATTGTCTGGACTGTTTTGACCATATTCTTCAGTTCATCAGGATATGGAGTTGGATATCTCTTCAGGTTGCCTTCCTGTATAACAAAAAGCAATAATGTTCTACATTTAATTAAATTCCATATTTAAAACATCAGTTTTAAAACAGGCAATTAATTGGCACGGAACACTGAACAATATAGGATCTCCACTTTGCTGTTCGAGTCTACCTGGACTGATGCAGACTCAAGTTTATAAAACCCAGCAAGTTTATGAGTCACTCCCTCCACCCCCACCTGCTGCAATGTGGCCTTTGATTGCAAACAGGAAGAATTACGACAGCTGTAATTTACTTAAAGAAAAATTAGGATTAATCATTTCCCCACTATCTTCCTCCATGGCACCACTAGTCAGGTATTCTCCTAGTTATGCCCTACATTGCCTTACATCAGCTGAGAGTTTTTCCCTAGTGCTCCACTTTAAATTATCTGATCAAAAAAATCCAAACCAAAACCAAACAAACAAATCTCTCAAAATCATGGTGATTCATCCTGTTTAGATACACTTAACTAATAACTGAAAACTTGATTTCCTCATTACAAGAAGGACATGGAGGTGCTGAAGCATGCACAGAGAAGGGCAACGAAGCTGGTGAAGAGCCTGGAAAACAAGCCTTATCAGGAGCAGCTGAGGGAACTGGGGTTGTTTAGGCTGGGGAAAAGGAGGCTGAAGGGAGACCTTATCGCTCTCTCCAACTACCTGAAAGGAGTGTGTAGAGAGGTGGGAGTCGGTCTCTTCTCCCAAGTAAGAAGTGATAGGACAAGAGGAAATGGCCTCAAGTTGAGGCAAGGGAAGTTTAGATTGGATATTAGGAAGAATTTCTTTACTGGAAGGGTTCTCAGGCATTGGAAGGGGTTGCCCAGGCCAGTGGTGGAGTCCCCATCCCTGGAGGTATTTAAGAGCTGTCTAGACACAGTGCTTAAGGACATGGTTTAGGGGACTTGTCAGTGTGAGGTTAATGATTGGACTTGATGATCTTATAGGCCTTTTCCAATTGAGGCAATTCTGTGATCCTTCAGAAAAGTGAAATGAACAACCCAAGTAAGGAAAAGAATGGGATCCAGGGGTGGGAATAGGAGGGAGGGAAGCACCAACTATTAAAAAATAAATTCAATACTAACCCGAGGTGGTGCCTCTCTCTCATCTTTGTCTTCATCACACTCAAATGCCACCTGAGCACGCTGTTTACGCTGCTCCTCCCACAGAGATGGATTGAAACTTTCATTATCAGATATGAACATAACTAAAAAATTAAAAAAACCTCATAAGAATAGGATACATTATGCAAAATAAAATTCCACTTTTTCTTTCTCTTGGATGGGATTGGTGTGCTTTTGTATGCATTCTTAAAAGGTAAGAGACTAGCAACACCAATTGAAGACTGGCTTCACTGTCACTGCTTTATGTACTTGGTTGTATTTTCGTAATAGTAAAATTCCTATCTGTAAAGTAAAAAACTTCATACACAGCTGTACACTAATCTTAACAGTCACACTTGAAAATTTTCAGCAGAACTCCTCACTGCAAAGTATTTTTATTCATATAGATTTATAAGTAGGAAAACACGTATTTGTGTATATATAAGTGAATTATACAGATCTACCCAGCTTGACTTCAGCGAGGCAGTCTTATTCAGCATGTAAAAGAGCATTAACCTGATTTAATTTAGTTAAAATCTAAAAACGAAGAATAAGAGTGACTTAGTGACAAAAACCTATTTCTAATCCCGAAAAAAACCTAAAGCATCTAAAACTTAAGGTAAAAATATGATTTTGCAAGAGTTATACAAATGACAGTAGCTTTACAAAGTATTTCTTGCTTAATTTCACAAGAGAAAAAAAAAGCTTTTAAGTACCCATTGTCTGTTATTCTAGCATGTCTCCATGCCTCGTGTTGCATCAGCCAGGTTCTACTTTAGTGTGCCAAATAGTCTAATAAATCTGCCGCCGCCACCCCAGCAACTGTATATCCTTCGCTAGGAATGCCAAGACTGTTCATATTAACTACTCCTATACCTTAAATAGAAAAACACCTAATTATAGGGCTTAACAAGTCCATTGAAATGTTTGTTATTCTGTGTTTATTGGGTAAATTTACAACTGTAACACATCTGAAGATATTCTAATAGACTTCACTATCACTGAAACTCTTCCTGACAAAAAAAATAACTTGATGAAGAATTAAAAATATTTCAGTTTTTCAAAGCACTAACTATTGAACTTGTGAAATCACCAAACCACCACAGACTTTAGATCTTCCATTTGGAATGACCACCTCAGAGGCAGGTATTCTGTCAACTTAATCCAAACAAGCAGCCCTCATCTTGTCTACAGAAAGGAACTCCAGCACCTGGCTAAAAAAATGTTCAAATGGAGAGAATGCTTTCAGGAATAACCTCAAACTTCACTGAATCTCCAAATTATTTTATAATTCTCACATTCTATCAGAGGTTTTGCAGATGTATTATCTGCATTAGAAGGCATTGAAAGTGATGCACAATTTACTGGTTTTGAGAGAGGAGTAATCAAATGTATCAGCAGTGTACTAGACACCTGTGTCATGAAACACCAAATGTTGCCACTTTTCAGTTTTTAATTATTCCCCTTCTATCTCTGTTAAAGCAGCACAAGCTTTTTCCTTTTGCCTGCAAGGGAAAGAAAGTGGAGGAACAAATAGATTTAACTCTCTTT